TTTGTATCTGTAAATGACACCAGGGAACGAAGTCCAGGAACTGTACCTCCCCACCTCCAAACTCTGGCCATTCATGTTTTAAGGAAGAGGGCGGTTAAGACACAGTGGTGTATACCTCTCATCGTACTGCTTGGGAGGCTAAAGCAGGATTGTGAGTTTGAGGACAGCAATGGCAGCACCCGGCTCTGTCTTTCTGACTGACCGGTCCTTACACTGCCAGCTGTGTGTGTGAGATCACTTTTTACCTGTTGCCTAGAACTCCAGTACCGTGCTGTCACACTGTAAAGTGTTACAGCATCTGCACTGACTAAGGCCATGTCACCTGATGAAAGGTCTTTGAACCTTAAGAGGAAGGAGCATGCTGAGGTTGTGTTCTCAATTCATAATTATCACCACTGTAGAAGTCTGAGCATGGATGAGTCCAGAGACCTGGGTGGTGCTGTCAGGAAGATCTGACTACCACCTGGAAGACCCTGTCTGCACGAGTTCATTGGCTCCATCCGTTGGTTCAGTAGTGACAGAAACTGTTTAAAAGGGGAAGGACAGAAGCCAGACATAGTGACACACACACACACCTTTAATCCCAGCACTAGGGAGGCAGAGGCAGTTGGAACTCTGAGTTTGAGACTAGCCTGGTCTACATAGTGAGTTCCAGACCAGTTAGGGCTACCTAGTAAGACCATATTTCAAAAAAAAAATAACTGAAAATGGGGCTGGAGAGATGGCTTAGAGGTTAAGAGCATTAACCGCTTTTGCAGAGGACCCAGGTTTGGTTCCCAGCATCCACATGGTGGCTAACAACCATCCTTAATGCCAGTTCCAGGGGATCCAAAAGCTCTTCTAGCTTCCTTGGGCATTGCATGACACAGGTGCATTATACACACGCAGGCGAAACTCTCATACACGTAAGCAGTAAATTTTTTTAAAAACTAAAAAAGGAAAAAGAGGAATAGGGGAGACCAATAGGGCCATGAAATGTGTCACACAACCAGCGGTGGGGCAGGCAGGTGTGGCTGACCACAGGGACGTCTGCACCAAGCCCTGGAAAGCACCAGGCTTCCTGGCACTTTGTACCTCCAGCTGCAGTGTGGTGGTGGCACTCAGTGACCTCCAGTAGAAGGGCGGGCAGATTGTGCTCCAGGGTACAAAGCTCGGGTTGGATGGGTTGACACCTGTCACATCAGAGCTCAGAAAGTTTCTGATTTCAGAGCATTTCTGTTCTTGACCTCCCAGGTTGTTCTGTGACCTGACACAGTAGATTAATTCACCCTGGGCTTTGCCCTCCTCCCAGAAACTCCTCCCTTTCAAAATACAATGAACAGATGTCATCCCATACCATGACACAACACGAGCCAGGCAAGACAGAAATGTAGCCTCGTCAGGTGGCACTACCACCCGATTCCAACTTCTAGAGCTGCATGTGCTCCATGGAACCTCCTAGGATTTGTTACTCCCTGTAACTTGCCTCGTCCTGGCTGCCTTCACTCACTGGAATCCGCACTTTCCTCCCTTCCGAGTGAGGGCCGCAGCCTGCCTAAGCATCTCAGAAGGCAGGAGAAGGTGGTTACGGTCAGCAGTGTCAGATCTTTCAGAGAGATGGGTCAAGGAGAAACAAGGCTGGGGCAGCTTGTCTGGGCTCATTCACAGTCCTGCATGTGAGGTGTCAGTGGGAAGATGGTGGGGAATGTTGGCAAGGGGGAAGAGCAGTGAACGGCCACGCACAAGTGTGGTTACCACGTACGTTGTACGTGGAGCTTGAGGTGGTGCTCTCTGTATGGGGTGGGAGCAGGAAGGTGTCCATCTGTAGGGTCGGCATCGTACACAGAGGTCAGCACACACTGAGAGGCTGGCGAGGCTTTCGGTAGAGTGAGGAAATCCTTACCGAGTCCAGATGCCCCGGAAGGTAAGAGAACAAGAACCATACAGCGGGAAAAGCAGGAGCCGAGAGGGGAACATTTGGTGGCAAAGAAGATGGCCAGGGGGAAGACCACGGTGGAACATTTGGGGGCGAGTCAGAAGCCAGCGTAGATGCCTCTAGAGCACAAATGAATCCCAGTCCTCTGAACTTTGAACTCTGCTCCCTCAGGTGATTCTTTGTACAGGGGTGTGTGGTTTACATAGCAGGGCAGAGCCAGAGGACACCTCAGCAACTTGATAGAAAGTCTGTCCTTGAAGCACCTGTCCTGGATCTCCAGCCTTTGCCATCGCTCTGTGTGCCATCATCGCCCCCACCCCGTGTGGGTGGGCCTGTCCCTGCCACGTAGGGTCCTTTGGAAACCACCTTCTGTCTCTCCTGATGCCCCGCAGGTGGGGGCGGGCAGCTGAGGGCCTGGGGACCAAGTCCTCAACCAGGTCAAGACAGTTCAGCTCTTTGCCTCGTGTCCCATTGTGAAGCTTGTGATTCCGGCGAGCCGGGTGGACAGAAGAGCTCTAAGGGAGACCATATGCTAAGATCTGAAGTCAGAAGGTGCACATGGCCATTTCTTTACCAGACATCCAGCAAATCCTGAACAGAGGGCTCTTAGACACACCTGAGTTTCACAAATGTAAGATAGTGTCAACCTGTGCAGTGTGTGTGCTAATGAACTGCAATCATTTCCACTCAGGACTGACCAAGTGTCCTTGTACTCTAAATGTGAGGTAGATCACTTTTCCCTGCCCTACTTGTCCATCACTAGGAGTATTTTATGTAAAATGTGTGAATTAGGCCACTGCTTTACAGACTTCTGTGTGGGAAAAGTTGTAATTCAGTTGTATCAGGACTTAGAAGCCTGTAGATCAAGAGGTCAGGCTTTGTAAAACCCACAGTTGCTGAGGCTGTGCTGGTAATTGCAAGGTGTGATTGCAGGTTAGCCATGGAGAGACCTGTTTGAAAGTCACTGTATCATTAATTTATTAATGAAAAACCCATCCAGGCCCCCAGTGTTAAAGGGCTTTGCTGAACTGGGACGGGAAAGAGCCTTTAGATTTCCACTGGCCTCTTCCTTCCCCAGCCACCTTCCCACAGCAAGCAGGCTTGTTCTGCTCCTGCACAAACATGGCCTCATTTGTTCTCCAAATTCACAGACAGCCATTCTTAGAACCCCCGCCACCCCGTCAGTCCCCTACTTTCTGAACTCTTGTCACTTAAGCTCCAGAAACCAAGAACCAAAGAGATGAAGAGCACAGGAAACACCCACACCCAGAGTAAGCAAGCAGACCCCATCCTCCAGGCTCCTTTATGTCTTCTTGCACTACAGACGTTTTCTCCCCTGCCAAGGGCTCAGCTTCAGTGCAGACATCTGGAAGGACTGAGCAGCCAGAGCCCAGGGCTGCAAGGCCCAGGCCTGACCTCCACTCAGCACCCGTGTAACAGCTTCAGAACATGCCTGAGGCACAGCAGCTCTTAACCTGCAGGCAGTCAGGCCTTTGCAGTGATGGAGGCTGTGTATGCTCCTGTCAGCTGTCACTTTTGGTTTCCTGAGCTAGACACTCTGGTAAGAGAAGCCTGGGCGATTTGCACACAGGTCTGCCCACCTGTCCATTTCCAGGTGCTGTTCAGACTCCCTTAGGCCTGTTTGGACTCCCTTAGGCCTCTTGAGACTCCCATAGGCCTGTTCGGACTCCTTTAGGCTGTTCGCCAAGCAGTTCAGTTCTGAAAGAGCCACTTTGCTTATGTCACAAGCGCAATGGAAAGATTCCACACAAGTGTGGCATGTATTTATTGGGTGGTGGTCACAGAAGCATGCATTGAGGACCCCAGCATCCTATTCCTGGGCAGTGTGTCCAGCTCCTGAGATGGGGCTTAGTGATACAACATGACCAGGAGGGGGAAGGGGGTGCTCATGTCCACACAGTAGACTAAAGGCCATGAGGAAAGGCGGGCTGGAGGCAGCTGCGGTGGCACTGGGGACAAGGACCTGGTGTCCGAGGCTGTGGGCGGATATGAAGAAGGGCCTTGAAAGCCGGACTAGGTCAAGGGAAGGCAGGTGGGCTCAAAGCTGGGCCTGGGCAACCAAGAACCAGGGAGCGCGAAGCCTAGCTGCAGTGATGGGGTAGGGTGACGAACTGACACGCTGGTCAGCAGGTTGCTCTCTCTGTTATAACTGCAGACATTCACACAGCCAGTGCTGGAATCTCATTTGCCAACCCGGGTCTCATGCTAAAGGGTCCAGCGTCAGCTTCTGATTGCTCCTTGGGTACCAGCAGTGTTTTCCTAAGCAGTGGCTTCTCCAGGATGGTTGTGGGAATAAAGACTGAGGCGCACACACCCGTCTGCAGCCAGGCTGTGTGCTGGTGTGCTCTGGCACCACATTTAGCTAGTGGAAAAACCCTGGGCAGATGTTACCTATGCCCAGTCTATGGGGACAAAATTGAGCCTTGAGAGCAGAGGAGCCTTCCTAAGAGAGAGGAGGTGGTATCATAGGCTGTAGGCATATGCCTCTCTCCCCACTTGCAAACAGGTGTCCCTCGGTGGCCACCAGGCAGGCTGTAGGTGTGCACTAAGGCCCTGAGCTGCCTGGCGTCGCTCTGAGTCTCCCTCAGCTTTGTTGACAGGTACCGAGGCCCGGGAGGACATTGGCCCTGGTCTCCCTGCTGTGGTTCATCTGGATCCACACCCAGGCGTGTTCATGGTGGTTAAAGCCCAGTCCCACCGTTTAGCAGGACTAACTCCATTTTCCTCCCACAGAGCCTAAGGCCAGCAGTAAGTCGCAAACTTGTTTTCGTAAGTTCCTTGGTCTGCGCCCACACAGAGGCGCCTGACATCCCACGCTGACTCTTTTTTTCATTTGTCCCCTGAGCATTGATTGAAACCTAGGTATGCCTGCTGGCTTCGGGAAACAAGTCTTGAGTATTGGCAAGTGTGTAGATCAGATCTCCGTTAGTGTAGATCTCCTGTCCTCTGTGTGCCGCCAGCCCCATGCCGGTGCCATTGAACCCAGAGGCACATTTGCGAAGGGACTGGCATGGGCCCTGCTGTGTCATGAAAGTGAGCTCTTCATCCCACCACTCTGTTTCAGAGCAAGAAGAAAACTTTGAGTTTATCATTGTGTCCCTCACTGGCCAGACATGGCACTTTGAAGCCGCCACATATGAGGAGCGAGACGCATGGGTCCAAGCCATCGAAAGCCAGATCCTAGCCAGCTTGCAGTCCTGCGAGAGCAGTAAGAATAAGGTAAGTCCTCAGCAGGCTGTCCCCGAAATCAAGGCTTACTGATCATTAGAGGGAAACGAAGGCCCCGCTGGAGCCCCGGAGGGGGGACAGAGGCGTCAGATGGCCTGTGTGGATGACAGGACCCAGGATGCTTTGTGAACAAAAAAACACACTAAGTAATTGAAAAGATAAAAACACTTTGTGGCTGCGAACACCATGCACGTGTTGATGTCCTGGCTTGGCCGTCCGCACGTGGTAGAATGTCCGACATGAAGTCTTTGCCACCCCCACCCCCCCAGCCACCACTACGTGGGACACATTGGGGTTTCATTGTAGGTGCTGGAATCTTTTGGACTCTGTCGGCTTATGTATCCACACTTATTTTTTTGTTGTTATTGTTTGGGACAGCGTAAATCAGAAAAAGAGACACAGACTTAAAAGATGCCCTGTTCTGGTCTCGTGTCTCCAATGTCACAGTCTTGTTAGGAACAAGCAAAAAGAAGATACAAGGTGAAATTTCTCTTTTTTAAAGCCTGGTGTATGTTCCATTCAGTAATTAAAAGTAATTCTCGGGGAGGTGCCTCGCAGGAAAGAGCGGTGTTTCCGCCTGCGCTTATTCTAGGCCACTGTGGAGCGCCGTTCCTTGTACCAGAGTTATTGTTCCCATCCGGAATTCTTTCTGTTTCATTCCTTTAACCCTGGGGTGTTCAAAACCCCTCTGCAGGCCCATTGAACCTCTTGGTGAGCATTTTCATTTTTTTCCCACTGTGATTAACTGGAAGCCTGGGAGAGCACGTCACCCATCAACCAACAGTTTCGTCTGTAAGCATTTAAAGAAATCTGCCCATGATTGATGGTCAGCTTTGTCATGACAAAGGGAGTCGGTCTTTCAGAAAGACAGAGTGTCTTATTTTATTACCCTTTTTAACCAGAGTAAACCAGACCACAGTCATTATTATTATAATGTAATTTGCTTCCCTCTTTGAAGATGTTTTAGACCCAACCGGGAAGAAGCACTGTCTTTTACTCTGAGCTCCCTGGCTCTCCTGGCCATGTCCCCACACAGCCACGACCTGTCAGCCCAGAATAGGTCCACCCGGTGGTGGCCCAGCACTGACACCTCCTGTCCACAGGCTTGGGGCTCTAGATTTAAAGCCAGGGGCACATGCTGCTGAGTGGACAAGCACATCTCTAGATGTTGTGGAGACATTAGACCTTCCATCTGATTCCAGAAGATCTGGTTAGTGCTGGCCTCTCCCATTCCAGTTCCTTGCCAGATTGCTACTGTGACACAAGACAGTATAATCTAGGACCAGAGGCAGTTACCAGCCCACCAAAGCCCCTGGGCAGTTGCACCTGTTTGGGGGGGGGCACCCAGGAGGAGTGCCCCTGCAGTAACTGGAGAGAGGAAGGCAGGCACCCACCTGGACAGCTGCTGACTAGGTGTGAGAGGGTAGATCACGGACGCAGTACCCACCAGCAGTGGCTTGTGGAGAGAAGCCCAGCCTCCACAGAGAGACACACAGTATCCTAACAGCTGGGGAGAAGGTGGAAGTGACACCAGATAGGCTACCAGTGAGCCGCAGAAATGGCACAGCAGGAAGGATGGGTAGATGGGGGGTGGAGGGAGGGAGAGCACTCTGGGTGTCAGCAGACATTGTTAAACATTGTTGGGTCCCAAGAGGAAATAAAAACACTATAATGCATGATACTAATCAGACAAAAGCAGTTAATAAATTATATTTACCATTGTGTAGCAAACAGTAAATTGTTCCACATCCAACTCTTTGGCTCAAGATGGCTCAATGTGCAAAGAATTCTTACACAAAAACTTATCCTAAGTCCTGAAAATGATCAGCTTTTACTTGAACTCTAATATGAAATGCATATTCAACAAATAAACCTTTCTGCATACGCAGATCTTACACCACTTTGTACCCTTACTTCCAAGATTCCATCCTTACTGAATAATCACACATGGGGACAGAGGTCTAGCACTAAGCACTTTCTTTACAACACTGCTCAGTATCGAGAAAAACCAAGGCAATCTAAGTGTCTACCAAAAAGAACTTGGTGTGTAAGTAGTCAGTAAGTAGACTCGTATGCATCCACGTAAAATAATGAAGCTCGAGTCAAGTGGTAGATATTCCCAAGCTAAAAAGGCAAGTTCCAAAGCAATATATATCCATCCACCAGACTTTCTTACAGTACCTGCATGTGTAGATGTGCTTAGAAGAAAGAAAGGCCAGAAGAACAGACACCAAAACATTAATGCTTGCCTGTGGGTGATCAGATCACAGTTTATAAATGTCCACGTCCTTTTCCATGTTTTTCTAAATTTGCTGAAATAGGCAGGTCTTTTAGAAACTCTTCTGAAGAGCCCTGTAAAGTATGCTTAAGAACAAATGCCCCTGGCCCCCCTCCAGTGAGTGACTTTGTTGCTGTAGCAACTGAGAGATCCTCAAATGAGGAGAGACTCTCCCAGCCGTGATGTGTGGTGTGGTCTGGGGGTTTTCTGATGAAGAACCAGGAGACGACTCTCGGTGTGCTGATTAAGGCCTGACCCTTGGCTTATACACAGATTATTTTCTTCCTATTCTTTAATCTTCATACCAAGTAGCCGTGTGCCCGCCAAAGTGTATTAGCCAGTGAGAATCTCTGGATAGCAGTCGATCTCTGGTTCATTCGCAAATGATGGAGGACTGACCGCTTCGCTCATTTTTGGCGGAGTCTGTCTGACATACAATCTGTCCCTCTCCCTTACAAACTCTCCTAAAGACATCAGAAGGAACGCTCTGCAAACCACATGCATCCTTTATCCACGTGCTCTATTTATTATTTCCCTGGCATCGTTAGAAGATGTTCGAGTTTCTCCTGGTCTGCTTATATCTCACATTTTCTGTCTTCTGTACCCAGTCCCGACTGACGAGCCAGAGTGAGGCCATGGCGCTGCAGTCTATACGGAACATGCGAGGGAACTCCCACTGTGTGGACTGTGACACCCAGAGTAAGTGTGCCAGGACCTGGAACAGTTCCCCTAGAGTCTTACCAGCTGTGTGTGACGGAGAGGGTTCACGGCCTTCAAGTGCTTGAAGTACTTGGGTTTGGGTTTAATTTTAACACAGAGCCCTTTACACAAGCCTTGCTGGTAGAAGGGTGGTATTTCTTGCACGATTGAGTGTTATGTGCCCTGTGTAGCCCTCAGGCCTCACAGCATGGGCTGAGGGAGGGACTCAGTTCCACACACACATCGCGTGTTGTATCCCAAACACAGCTTTGCTTAATCAGTAATTGTTTTCTCCAGAAAATAATACAGTTGGCTAGTTCCTGCCCAGACTTTAGAAGCTTTGTTTTCAATTTCAGTCAGGATCATGTGCTCTGGGTTTGGCCATGGAATAATTCTTTAAATTCATTACATGCTGAAACATTTGATTGAACTGCTGGACTTCCTTCCTGGAGTAAGCCAGTTTTTCTCACACTTTCACTTTCTGTTGTGTAGAAGGTAATAATCCTTTTGAGAGACGATTTCTTTATCCTGGACAATCCGGCCATGCTTTTCATTCAGGTCCCCAGCCTCAGAAGTTTCACTGGGTCTTTGGCTAAGTGGTGCTCTAGTTTGCTCTTCTGTCCGCTCCAGTAGAACACACTGACCAAAAGCAGCGGGGAGGGTGCGGTTTATTGGCCTTGTCCTTCCCGCCCAGACAGCCCCTCGGGAAAGGAAGTCAGATCAGGAGCTCGAGCTGGACCCAAAGCAGAGAGGAGCACTGCTTGCTGGCTCACTCACAGCTTTGTGCTTACCAGACTGTCCTATTCAGCCGGGCCCACCCACCCAGGAAATGTCACCCACAGCAGGCTGGGCCCTCAGTCAGCAGTCAAGAAAGTCTGTCCTAGACATAGTCCTGGGCCAGTCTGATCTGGGCAGTTTTTCCATTGAAACCCCCTCAGGTAACTGACTCCAGGCTGTGTCTAGGTGACACTAATCAAGACAAGTGATATCTTAAAGGGAGGAAGATACAGGGCAAGCCAGGTAGAGGTGCTGGTGCTGTCTGCGAACTCAACACCCTTGACATGGTTGTTTGTGGCCTTCCTGGGCACTAAGCCCAGTGGGCTGCTTGGTTGGTGGGACTCTTAATGGGTGGGGGTGAAGGGGATAAGGCTGGAGGTGTGCTGGGCACAGGCTGCAGCCTCATACTCCTCTCCCGGTGAGTTGGAACCATGAGTGGCTTCTCAGAGTGGGGGATCCTAAGGTGCAGCCACGGAGGCGTGATGGTGAGGCCTTTTTTCTTCGTTTGTTAGCAGCGGTGAGCCATCAGTGCTTCAGAACAGGAATGAGAAGAATCCTGAGCTGTTTAGGGGAGACAGGCCTGATCGCTCCAGTTTGGTAGCTGGGGATAGAGTGGCCGAGCGAGGCAAGGGCCGGCAGGTGGATTGTGGGCATGCATTCCCTCAGGAGGCAGAGACCCTCACCGAGAGTTCCCACAGATGAAAGTGATGAGCCACCTCTGAGGCCCCTGGCCAGCAGGTTGAGGAAGGGAAGACAACCAGGCTGTCCACGGCCCAGCGACTGAGGCCCGGCAGGAGTCCTTCCTGGGGCAGAAGGTGCTTCTCCTCGGGCTCCTTACAATGCTTCCTTTAAGTACTGCTTTTTGTTTGAATTTTTAAATTTTACTTTCAAAACGTGCAGTCGAAGGAGATGAGAGGAATGCTCATTTGAAGTGTGTTTTTATCAAAAAAACGTTTTTTAAGTCAGACCTTTTTATTTTTTAAGCACAAAACCTAAGACATATTAGACAGTCCATTCAGAGAAATGTCTATAATTGTTTCCAGTATGCATCTAAAGATTTCTCAAAAAGAAACTAGTCTGTGGCTTTACGGGGCTGTGGCATGTGGCAAATTGGAGGTCATAGGTCCTTGTTGAGAAAAAGCAGATGTGTGCATGCTGAAGGGTGGGCAAGAAGGGAGGGGCAGTCAGTGGGGGGCTGGGAGAGCAGACTGTGGGCCGAGGCCACCTCAGCAGGTGGGACAACTGGGCAAGGCGGAGTTGGACATTTCTGGAGAGGAGACCGTTCATCACCGTCTATTGTAATTTTGCGCTCTCCAGATTGATAGATGGTTGGTGTTGCTGTGGACCCATTGATGGGGGAGGGAAGGAAGAGTCTGGGGACCACAGCAGTTTGTCCCAGGTCCCTGATGTAGCAGGCAGTGCTGAGGGATTCATCTGGAGCCCATCTCCAGCCTGCTGTTTCTTCAAAGGCCTCGAGACACTTGGAATCCAGTGTCAAGTGCGTGAGCAGACAGCAAGGGTTTTTATACGAACAGCCAGCTTGGGTGCAGATGCCAGGGAGTGAAGAGGGGGGCGAACATTTGACGGGACTGTGTGGCCGCAGAAGAGTCTGCAGGATGTGCCACTGGCTGCACACACCCAGCTTCAAAGGTGTGGGCCGAAATCAGAGCTGCCCCAATGACTGCCGGTGCCTGGCACGTACTGATGACACCTGCGGTGGTACAGGAGGCATCATGACTCCAGGGACAGCGTCTGCCCAGAAGTCCTCGCTTCCCTACCATTTCTGCTGTGTTACCCCTGTGGGTGCTGGGAAGCGAACCTGGGGACTTTAGAGCAGCACAGGATTTGAGGCTGTGAGAGCTCTCCCCATCCATGATTCCTGCCTAAGTCACCAGATCAAAGACCCCCCTCTATTTACACAGTCTGTTCCAAAGAGGGCACTGGGATTCCGTGGCTGTGGGGTGCTTGTCTGTAAAGAGGAAGCTTGTCCAGTGAATTTGGAAACATCCTCGTCTCCGGAAGAGGCCCATCACTGCCTCTGGGAATCCTGCCCTAAGGAGAGCTGTGTAACCCTGTACAGATCAGCTCTTTACAGACCCCAGTGACAGTGGAAATTTGGGTCGATAGCACCTGTTGTCAGCTACCCATCAGGAGCTTGTCCAGGAAGTACCACCCTTGAGAAACTGGGGAATCCCAGATGTCGGCTTTTCCCAGCATGTCGCATCTTCCAGGACCAACCTTGAGACTCAGCCCAGGCCAGACCCCTGGTCCGTGAAGTCTTGCCATTGCCAGTGCTGCCCACGGGATCAGGATGGAGCCCTCCGTGCCTTCCTAGCAGATGCTGCCCACCTGACTAGCCTTTCCCACTGTCCCTCAGCTCCTTAGAACTGGATTCTGCCACAGTCGCTTCTGTGTATTCACGTGAATACTGTGTTGTCATCCTCTCTGATGCCCACATCCAACAGGGAAAGCAGGTATACTGAGCTGCAGCAAGGAGAGCGTGGGTACAGCACGTTCACCTAGCTCCATTTGGAGAGTGAGTGACCAAGAACAGTGTCCTCGGGAAGAGGACTCCAGCTAAGAGCAGCAGGCCAGGCGGAGCTGGGAGTGTTGTACATAGGTGGATGGAGGCGCCAGGAGCCTCCCATGAGACAGCTGCCAGGGAGGCTCAGTTCTGATCTTGTCTGCAGAGACTTTGGGCTCAACCCCAATGGCAGATGGCAGCCACTGATAGGTTTTAAGTCCCAGTATAATGTGATTGGATCTGCCATATCTTGTGACTGTTGTTGGGGTGGGAGGTGGCCTTAGAGAGGCAAAAGGTAAAAGTACAGACAAGAGCTACAGCACTCCCATCGTGATGTGTGGAGACAGTAAGGATGAGGATGGGGTGATAGGTTTAGTAGAAAGTTGAGAGTGTGTCTGTGGGATGGATAGAGGAAAGAACGTCCACTGTCCAGATCCAGGGCCAACACTGGTGCTCTTGGGAGACATAAAAAGAACTGTGGTAGAAGAATTCATTTCCAGAGCACACTGCTGTCAGGCAGATCCTGCAAGATGTCCTGGTGGAGCTGGCCTGAGCCAGCAACACTTAGAGCGGGGAAATGAGGAGGCTAAGAGCTGTTGGGGTGTCAGTAAAGCCAGGGCCAGGCTGGGTTTGCCAGGAAGAGAAAGTGACACAGAAGAGAGGCACTTGCGGGAGCCAAGGGGAGGCCAGCTCGAGGAGGAGATGCTGAGGAAAAGATCCAAATGGCACAACCAGAGACCAGGGAGAAGGTTCCTGAACAGCAGCATCAGAATTGAGCATGGCGAGCTGGGCAGCCGCCTGTCTGTCAGGAGCCCAGTGCGGTGACGGCTGTGGCCTGTGAAGTGGCTGGTGACTTTGGCAGCCCTGGTTCAGTGGTCAGGGCAGATGGAGGTGGTTGCAGAGGATAGCGGTGGCAGGACAGAACCCAAGCTGTGAGGAAGTACAGACACTAGAAGAGCGTCTCGGTGAAGAGGGCATGCCTGCTCCTTACCACACCTCTCTCTTCCCTGGATCTGGATGCGGCCAAGCTGGGCCTGCATCCACACTGGCTTCTCCATCTAACCCACTGGGATTGCGTTTTTCACCTCTGTGACCAAAATACATGACAAGAAGCAGCTGGGGGTGGGGCATGGAGATACGGTCCATTGGTCCATCGTGATAGATTCCCACCAGGAATCCATTTCCTCCAGCTGTGCCCCACATATCATAGGTTTCACATCCTCCCAAAACAATACCACTACCTGGGACCAAGTGTTGATGCACAGGAGCCTGTGGAGTCACTACACCCAAACACCTTGGTTTCCTCCCACGTGTGCCCTTCACGTTGAGTCTCTACGTTTCTATATCCTGTTACGTTCTTTTATTCAGGGCCTAAGTTTTCCTTTCCCAACCAGAACATCTCTGAGGTCACAGGCCAGTCTGTGAGAGCCTCCCCCAGGATGTGGGTCAGCTGCCTTCTTGAGTGGTGCTGGCGTTGGGTTGGTCCATATGCAGCCGGCCCTGGTCATTTGCCCTGTAGAGAACACAGTGGGTCAGACCAGATGGCCCTGGGTAGATGCTGGCCCTGTCTGCCCAAGTTCAGCCTCTCTGCTCCTGTGCAGAGTGCAAACCAGTGACCATCGAAGCCAGCCCATCTTCGCACATAACCTAGAAATGCTAAGCCCAAAACCACCCCGGGCCCGGGTTCCTGGCCTTCTCACGGTATCACCCAGTTCCATACATCTCTTCTGGGGCTCCCTGAGGTATTCTCCAGACAGGCTCATCATCCTGAAGAACGGTGTCCTTGTTCCAGTGTCCCAGCTTAAAACGTACTCTGCTCATTGTCAAGTCAGGGTCAAGGGAGTTGGGTCATGCTCTAACCGAAGACCTGCTGCTGACCTGGGAGCCCTGGGAGCAGCGGGTACCCTTGAGTAGGATTCCTGACAACCATACCTCCTTATTGTAGTGTGCCTCTTCCGTCTTCGAAATTCTGCAACCTCCCCCCACCCCCAGCATTCCACAATGGACACCTTGACACAAGTGGTTTTCCCTGATGTGGGCCAGTCCTTTGGAGGCCAACACTGCCACAGAGAATTGGAAGGGGTTTCTCTGTCCAAACGAACACTGGTGATTTGTGGTCGCTGCCAGCAACATATAGGTCTTTGCAGACACCTAGAATGGCTCTGAACAGCCAGGGAACATTTGAAGTCATGTCACTGTAGGGGTGATGGCCTGGCATGAAGCCAGACTGGCTGGTCAGTTCCTGAGATACGAGGGACAGTGGTCTGACTTCATTTTGCCCCTGTTCTTCCCCTTGCAGACCCTAACTGGGCCAGTTTGAACTTGGGAGCCCTCATGTGCATCGAGTGCTCAGGGATCCACCGGAATCTTGGTACCCACCTCTCTCGGGTCCGATCTCTGGACCTTGACGACTGGCCCATGGAGCTGATCAAGGTGATGTCGGCCATTGGGAACGAGCTGGCCAATAGCGTGTGGGAAGAGAGCAGCCAGGGGCGGACGAAACCCTCCTTAGACTCCACAAGGTAGGAACCCACAGATGCTCCACCAGCAGCTGGACTACTGGGAATGACCTGAGGAACCACTGCATCTGCCAGGGCTCTGGTGGCCTGTCAGCCTGGCGTAGAATTGTCCTGGTTCAAATTGGTCCCTGGCAGGCTGGATATTTCAGATTCCTTAATTTTTTATATATTTTTTTAGGCCTTTAGGATTCCTTTCCTCCTCTTATAACCTTATGAATATATTACTTTAATTAACACATTTCTAATAGGCAGAAGCTATGCTAACACTAATTATAAATTTTTCATTCTTGGGCTTCGAGTGTTATTCTAACATCCTTAGTAAGCATCTTATGGGTAACCAACCTCCTCACATGCCCTTGCCAACAAGTGAACTTATGGTAAGAGAATGTATTTTATTTTCTAAAATATATTTCTAACACATCTAATGAAGCACAGGTCAGCATAATGTATGGCGACTCCCGTTCGTGATAATTGTTATCCAGGATAAAAACACATTTTTTGAGGCCATTTAGTTTTTCATTTTTCATTTACAGCAATTAATAAACCATTTTTGAGAACATGCATACATATTTAATTTCCCTAAGAGGTGATGGAACAGTCCATTTTCAAAAAAGACCTGTTCCATAGCAGCAGAAGAGTCAGCTCATCTCTGAGTGGGCTAACCTGGCCATCCAGGGTGTTCAGGTGCTAGGTGCTTTGTCCCCCCTCTGGACAGGGGATTGAGGCCCACTTCTGGCACTCACGTCTCAAGTGCTGAGATGAAGGAGGAAGAGGCACCTGTTACTGCCAGCGTCAGCATCCAGAGTGTCGCTGGTTCGTTTTGCTGTCGATGAGATAAAATCAAAGTCCCAGAGGTTACCAGTCTGTGGTTAATCTGCAGAGCTGGGTTTGTCCCACTGGCCAGTGAGGCTTGAGATGAGTTGACCCGTCTCTTTCACTAAGGCTCAAAATGAGTGTTTGGTGCCCCCTCTGGCTCACAGGCGGGAGCGAAGGCCAGGCGTGCCGTTAACTTCGCTTTTTGTTAGATGTCAGTGGGGAAGGGCCAGAAAGGTGCACACAGCATGTTTGTTAAAAAACTTCCTAAGTTTGCTATGCAAGCTCTGTATCATGTGAATCGAGTATGTAATATAGGTAGGGATAATTTTCTTACAAACCAAAGGTGTGGTGCACTTTGAAAAACTATTATTTTCCTGATTTAACACTCACATAGGAATCAGCTGGGCCATTTGCTGTGAATAATCCTAACAGATTAATTTATAATACAGTATCTATTTTTTCATAGTATGGTTGAATTTTAGTCTGAAAATGAAAAATGATTAGAATTTAGATGGTTTAACATACGGATTTTGAAAACATTGAAATAAGCTTTTAAAAAATTAATTTTATACATCAGACCATTTAGGTTCTAGAGGAATACATACTGTTTGGGTTTTTAAGATTTATTTTTATTTTATGTGTGTGACTTTTGCCTACGTATATGTGTGTTTGCCGTGTGCATGTCTGGGACTCATGGAGTCTAGAAGAGGGTGTTGGATCTCCTGGAACTGGAGTTTCCAGAAGGCTGTGAGCCTCTCTCTGGGTGCTGAGAACTGAACCGTGGTCCTCTGCAAGAGCAGCAAATACTTTTAACCTTTGAGCCGTCTCTCCAGCCCCCCATACCTTGTATTTAATACAATGAATTAGAAAAGTTTGCTTTTCTAGCCATTAGAATAAGAAACCATTTAGAATGATTAGAGACTGATTTGTGGGTTCAATTTTAAGCTGAAAGTATTTTCGTCTTTAGTGCGTTCATCAGCGAGGGATTGAATGGCCGTGGCGTGTACAGCTCTGATGGCCTGGTTTGTACTAAGCTGAGTCGGTAGCTTTCTGCGCTACCCAGCACCACTCAGTCACCTCTTAGAGCTCAGAGAAGTGTTGCGGTCTTCCTCTCACAAGCAGGGTGACTGCTGTTGAACCTCTCTTGACTTGGTCAACCCGGATTTCCTAGAGAGCCCCACAGAGTCAGGTCTCCTCACCAAGAATCTGGTCATGGTCCTGTGATTTCCATGGTGTCTCCAGAGGTTAACTTTGGAGTTTCTGAATTCTCAGACAGTCAGGAGGGCTAAAGCCTTGTCTGTGCCTCTAGTAAAAATTCTCCTGAGGAGTTCAGTGTCTGATTACATTCATCAAGTATTCACTGAACTCAATAAAGAAATAAACACTGAATATAGATCTGTAGTGACCAGCGAACATTCTCAGGACCTGCGGAGGATGCCCAGCTCCGTGCAGTTCAGGGTTCTCATGGCCCTTAATGCTCTTGCCCTGGGCAAAAGGCATCTGAGCTGGTGGTATCTGAAGTGGGTGATTTTTCAGGGCATGGAGCGGAGAGGGGTGTGGGAGGGCAGGGCAGCCTAGGCAAGAGTGAAGAGGTTCAGCCTACTGCAAGCCTGCCCGGCACATCTGTCCCCCACAGGGCTGCACGCCCCTAGGCACCAGAAGCAGGGACAAGTGAAGCCTGGGAGGCCCTTGAGCCTGGATGACATCAGAGGGACTCTGGCTGGGGAGTAGGCTGGGCTGCTTACGTGTTTGACAACGCTGTGTCTGTTCCCTGGAGGACTGAAGTCAGCCGGCAGGGTGATTAGAAGGACAGAGAAAGGTGCACAGGAGGGCCATGTGGAAGACTGGCATTTGGTGGAACATACAGGCAGCCTTAGACACATGATCAGAACGAGGAGCTCCATAGTCCGTAGTACAGAGGTAATTCAGACACCTGCCGCCTTCACTGCTTCCCACAGTTTCCCCAAACAGAACTAAAACCTCCAAGTTAGAATCAGTGTGGAGTTGTCCCCCTGAGAATCCATGTCTAGTATATAAGATCCATGTCTACCTATGTAAGATGCTCTACCCACCAGCCTCCCTCCTACCTTGTACCCTGAGGAGCTCAGAAGTATCTCAGGGCCGAAGCGAATCCCCAAAAGCAATAGTTTCATGAACATTGATATCTGGCCAAGGAAAAGGCAAGTGTCATTCTTCAGAAAGGGGGCCCAGATGTTTTCCCGTGGAGCTTGGGCTGGTTCTAGCTTGTTCAGAGGATTCATTCTGACAGTGGAATATTAGAAATGTGCCCCGCACACCCCAACACACACAGCCAATCTTTCTCCAAAGAAACAACCGATCTCCTGAAACAGCGGTGCATTGGTATCACCCAGGCCTGCAGGTGGTTTGGGAGAATGGATGCCTGGCACAGCTGGCTGGCCTTCTGCCTGTGGTCCCCACACCCCCATTAGGCCAGCTCTGGATGGCCTATAATTGGTTCCGGGGATTCTCAGCCACCCTGAGAACTGCCGTTGAGACTGTGAGCAGGCATCGTGATCAATCGGAGCTGACTGGTCCCCACACCCCCATTAGGCCAGCTCTGGATGGCCTATAATTGGTTCCAGGGATTCTCAGCCGCCCTGAGAACTGCCGTTGAGACTGTGAGCAGCATTGTGATCAATCGGAGCTGGCGGCCGCTGAAGCCGTATTGACTTCCCATTCCTAAACAGGGGGATCATTAGTCAAGGGAAGCATCTTTTAATTACTCCCAGGAAGGAAAAAAAAAAATCTTTTTGGATGGATTCTGCAACAGCTGCCATTTTTTCCCAGCGCATTCAATATTAAATTTATTGTCGCAGGAGGGGAGAGGTTGCCCTCCACCCCCTCTGTAATGGGGGTTTAATTTGGAGAAAGAATCATGTTGAGGGGAGATCGATGTGGTAACAATTAACTACATCTGGGCTGGAATCAGAATCTCCCTCTCTAATTGCTATTGATACCATTTAAGCACAACTTAAAATATTGACTGTAAAGGAGATGTTTAGGTAGTGTAGGGGCAGCAGCAGGGCAGAATGATCTGGAATTAGGTTTAAGAAGGGGTGGTCTACTGTATTAGGAGAGTACTTCCTGACCTTCTGCAGTCTATGTGCCCAGCTATGTAGTAGACAGTTGAGTAGCTGGGTCTAGAGCCACCAGGTGCTGGTGTTCCAGTGCAGAGACCAGTAACTGTCACTGGAGGGAGAGCAGAACTCATCAATAACCCTTCAAAATGCCAGAAAACAGCCTCTAAGTTAAAGGCATTAAGAATCATGTGACTGTTCCAGAGACACTGTGGTTGCCTGGCCCCCAGGTGTCAGGTGCTCTGGTTGCCTCCGCACTTGTGGGGGCTTGTGTCCACAGTGAGATGGGGCTTGAGATCTGCAAAGCACCAAAGGAGCACCAGGAAGCCGTGCATGCCCCTGGCCACACAGCCATGTTTCTGTGCTCGCCTGCCCCCAGTTGACCCGTCGCTCTTCACTGCCATGCCCACGCACACACAGGCGAGTTATACCGGTTGCAATGAGGGTGATTTCCTACCAGAACCAAACAGAACCCTCTGGGCAGAAGCCACAGGGCTTGGGGGTATGGCTCCCCCCCCAACCCCCATGTTTGTTTCTGTGTGGCATTTGGCCTGGGAGGGTCAGCAGAGACCTTGCTATTTGCATTTGAGCTCAGGTAGCCTATTTATGCCAGCCTGGCACCTGGTGAGTGAGGCGGGGAAATCAAAGGAAGTTGGAAATGCAGACCTGTGTTTTCAGTTCCAGGAGCAGCTCTGGAGAGAGGCTCAAAACACAGAAATGAGATCACCCATTAGCACTTTGATGGCCCTGGGAAGGGAACATGTTGGCTGGTTAAGTAGCGGTCTCTCTTTTTCTCTACCATCCTCCCCACCCACTTTTCTCTGTTCTCCATCTCCTGGCCCGAACTCCCTTCTGGTCTCTAACCTATAAAGAGACACGGCCATGACGGAAGATGAGGGGCCCACATCAGGAACTCGAGTGGGAGAGGACTGGCCACACACTTCCGGCCCCAGCCAGTGTGCCGGCTTTCGGAGTGCTGCTGCTTTTGGATTCTGCAAGGCCACTTTCATCTTATTTATGCACACGGAGATATTGATAAAGGGGAAATGTATCCAAACTGAAAATAATTGGATCCCCGCAGCTGACTCT